GAGCTCTCTATTTTGTGTTGGGACTCCTGCAGCTCTGGCTGGGCTCCTCTTCTACACACTGCAGGTGCTACTAAATACAAAAGATTCAAATAAATATTGGCATTGTTGGAGGTGCTGGAACCTGCCCACTGTCTTGCTGGCATTGTAGCTGCTTTCCACCCAGAGCCAGGCCAGCAGAAGTTGCCATGAGGCTTTTAACCTGGTTCTAGCACGATGCTGGTAAAGGAAAAAAAATGTTATATAATGATGTGGATGGTAAGTCCTTTGAAACTGCACTTCCTTGCATTTTCCAGGGTAATTATTCTGTCTCTGCTACATCTCCCGGTGAAACTTTCCAGGAATTAATATTCCTTTGTGCTGTGAAAGACAATATTTAGGTCCTTCCTAAAGGATGGGAAAAAAAAGTTGTAATGGAGACCAGAGCAAAATAAAACCTCCCACAGATTCAGAGAAGGAACAGCATCCCAGAATCTCTCCCATGGTGTCAGCAGCTTTCCTCTGCCTGTTTGCTGGAGCCCAGGATGGAGCTGTGATCCTGGGAAATGCCTTTTCCCTGTGTGAGAGCACCGTTGTTCTCAGAGGTTTGCAGAGCCAGCTTCTCCTTTCAAAGAAGAGAAATCCTTGCATTTGGAGCCTGATTTGTGCCTTGCTCTCAGTACAAATTAAAAGTGGCTGCAGGCTGGATGTGAATAAATGATTTACCTCACCCAGCCCTGCCAGCCTTTGTGAGAGCAGGGTGTTAATCTGGAGCCTCCTGTTAATTTGTGCCTGGCAGGGAGGTGGGGCATGCACAGGGAAAGGTGGGGAAAATAGTTATTTAAAATAATGGGGGGAAGTGAGAATAAAAAACACAGCACAAAGTAATCGTGTTGGTTAAATCAGAAATTATTTGATGTCTGTGAATTTTCAGCTCTTCTGGGATCTCTTCTGCTTTTCTACAGTGGAGATTTAACACCTGGGTGGGAAGCAAAAGAGCCCTTAAGAGGCCGAATCCGTGCACTGGAGTGGAATTTAATCTTCAGCTCAAATCTCTGTCTGGAGATCTCAGGGAGAAGCCTGGAAATGTTGCTGATTCCAGGGAGTGGAAGGTGGTGTGGAATGGGATAACCTTTAAGGTGCACCCCAATCCAAACCATTCTGTGATTCTATGATAATAAAATTCACTATTAATTATTAAAGTATTAATGATGAATCCCTTTAAATCAGAAAAAAAACCCATTTGGGGACCAAGAATTTGGATTTTAAATGGAAAATGAAAGACTCTCTTCTCTGAGGACCAGAATTTTGCCCTGTGCAGGATGCAAACCACTGAGGTGGTGCTGAGGAAGAGCCTTCAACATTTCTGTGGAATTTCTGAATATTCAGGGGAGGATGTTCAGGGAGCAGAAGGAAACCACTCAAGCTTGAATTCACACCAACCCAAACCTGCCCAAGATGTCAGGGAAGAACTCAACTTAGGCAGAATCACGTCTACCAAGGCTAAACATATATCCAAGATTAGATATAAACATTATTCTCCAATTATACCTAGTGTTGATCATATTGGAATGAAGTAATATTCCATTGCAATGGACTTTGTAGCTGTTTTCCAAAAAAATGGGAGAGACTGACCAGGACTGACCTGTCCCAGCATTGCAATGACACCACAGGCTTGACTTTTGCAACAATGAAGTGAAACAGGCTTTTTAAAACATTAATTTTATATGAAAAAATAGCTCATGCCAAGTCATTTGTCATAATCACATTTCATTAACAGTAAAGTTAACAAAATCACAATATACAGATTTAGTATGTATTTATGTATATATGTCACTTTGTATTAACCATTAACTCTATGTAATAAAAATATATTACAACATTTGATATGTACCCACAAAGCACAAGCCATTGTAAACAGAACAGAAAGCACAGGCCCCATTACTCAAAATCTGAACTCAGGAATGATAATTATTCTGTTGTATTCCTTTAAACTGTAAACACAGAGGATTTTATGTGTTTGCCTTTGCATTAATGGATTTGTTTCTCTGGAATATCTCTTAGGAGACTCTCAGAGTTTAGCTTACCTGGGACCCTAAAATCCATGTTAACTCATGGCACTCTTAAGTTTGTTGTCATTACAAAAAGGTCTGTGCATCCCTTTATCCATGCAACTTAGAAAGATTTCATTTATATTCCCATTTTCTCCCTAAATAAATAGCCCCTTCAATTACACCCCATTGTTATACAAAAAGAAGGTAAATGCAATAAATTATAGTGGTATATTTATAATAATATAATCAAACATGCCCTATCTACAGCAGCTATTAATGTTATTTCATAACTATCTTCCTTCAGACTGGTTCTAGGTGCTTTTAGAAATAGGAAACCATCTATTTTCAATATTTCTGAAACAAAATAAATACCTTAAATACACAGACTGAATTTTTATGCCTCTCATGATATGAATGGTCCTTACTCACCCAAGCAACCCCACTGTCCTTGCAGCAAGGAGTTGTAAAACCAGCTCCTAAAAACTTTTTAAAAAATCAAATAATCTTCTAATAGTCTAATCTAGGGACAAAAGTTTATATCCAACTATATCTGGAAGGACTGGTAATAAGTTACATTCCTGCAAGAATTCAGAAGGGAACGATTAGTGATTGCCAAATACATGGAAATTTTAATCCTAAAATAATCTTCAAAACTAAAAACGCTGTGAAAAAAACTTCTAAGGATTAGAAAAAATGCCCTGTGTGTAAATAAAGTTAATCAAGGCACCTCTTAGTTACCTATTTCTATTTTCCAAGGCAATATGTGATAATAGTTTTCAAATGTCTTGTCTGGGAAGCCCTATGGTTCCTGCTATAAAAAGACCCATTCTTTAGTCTGGCTGATGCAGGTAGCTTTAGTTTACTATTTTTTAAATGAGGCTGGGCACAAAGCACAGAGAACTTGTCCCCAGCCTTGTCACATGTTTGCTGGGTGACCCTGAGGGCACCGAGCATTTCACTGACATTTTCCTCACAAAAGTCACTCAATTAATGAGATTCCTTCCTTTGTATTTTCCCCCCCTCTGTTTGTCATTGATCCCATTAGCAAAACAGGAGAATTTACCTGTCTGTGCACAAGGGTTTGGTGGTCAGGAGGTAAATTAAATTAAAACACTTTGGTATCTGACGGGGTTTTTTGAAGTTGTTGTTCAAGAGCTCAGAGTGCAATAAGGAGCAGGACAGTGGGATGGGCAGGAAGGCTGCAGCCAGTTCTGCACCATGCACCTGCTGCCCTCCCACTGAAATCTCACTGGGATGCTCTGGCATTGCATCAAAAACCACTGGATCCAAATCCCAAGGGAATGGGGACTTTTGCTTTTTTTTTTGCTTTGCATGACTTTTAAAAAACATTTGTTTTAAAGCTCTGATTGCAGAACTACAGTGACTAGAAAAGAGAAAGATGGAGAGGAGCTTTGGACCAGAGCGGGGGGTGACAGAACAAAGGGAAATGGATTCAAACTGACACAGATTTAGATGGGATTTTGGGAATCAGGAATTGTTCCCTGTGAGGGTGGGCAGGCCCTGGCTGTGGCTGCCCCCGAATCCCTGGCAGTGCTCAAGGCCAGGTTGGAGCAGCCTGGGACAGTGGGAGGTGTCCCTGCCATGGCAGGGTTGGAATGGATGGGATTTAAGCTCCCTTCCAACCCCAAACCCTTCTCTGACTCAGTAATAATTCCAGATGGAAACCCTTTCCCTGACATGACTTTGTGTGTAAATAATCAGCCATATGGACTTGTGCCCTTGGGTATATTGAAACCATGTGAAAAAGCATTTCTTCAACAACAACAACAACAACAACAAAGTTATTTTACTCCTCAATTGCCACCCCTGCTGTCACACCCCTGATGCTTCTGCTTCTTGGCACACACATTTCTGAAGGGCACTTACAGCCTGTGGGGCTAATCCTCCTCCTTAGAAATACAGACATATAGGATAAACTACAGCAACTTCTTCAGCTCATAAACCAGCAGTATTTTCTTTAAAACCCACAATCCTAAATGCATATTTACACCAAACACACCAGGAGTACAGGTAAGAAGCTGCCATTTTACAAAGACTGCAGCAGCTCTTTTCTCTGTGTAAACTTTTATACCCTCCCCACAGGGACAGCTGCCTTTTGGAGCAAGATGGTTTTCTTAAAAAAAACCTTCACCCATTGAAAATTTTCACTATATTGAATGCTGAAAGCATAAGAAGCAAATTAAAAATAAATAGATTTAAGGCTACAATGACATTGTTCTCACTTATTCAGGTCTGGGCAGGTTACAAAGACATAATCCCTGATTCTGCAGACACAAAAGCTCAGCCCTCACAATCCAGCAAAGCAAACACCCAGTGGCTCTGGGGTCAGGATCCAGCTGAGCTTTCCGTGCTGCTCAGTGACTTTTAGAGTCCAGTAACAATGAGCTGACAGAGGTGTGAACTCCCTGTCTTTGCTTTTGAGCTTTGTTTAATCAGGAGAACACTGAGTGTGGGGAGAAGACAGATCTAACAGCAGAGAAAAGCATTTTCCAAAGGGTTATTCCAGAGATATTCACTGTGCACATAAAAATGTACAGGGCAAGATATTCAGAGCCTTCTTCATTTAGGATTAAGAGAGGTGAGGGAGCTATGAAACCTTTGGCATGTAGGTCCAGAAAAATTCACATTTTAGTGACCTAAACCTCCTAGACTTTAAGAATTATATTCTCTAGTTGTCCAAACTATGTGAGTAGTTCCCATAAAAACCATCTGAAGACCATGAGAGTCCTCCCAAACCCAAAAGGTTTGACAGGATTCTCACCTTTTTCTTTGGGATGAGTGAATGTCTGAGAGGCTTGGAGAGCTGTCAGGGTGGGAACAGGGCACTGGGAAAAGCTCAGTGCAGCCAAGGAATCCCAAACCACTGCAGCAAAGCCAGTTTGTACTTCCCAGCCTCCTACTCACATCCATTCCTACTTCACTTTTGGAGCCTCCTGAAGATGTTCTGGGTTTTGAAGTTTAGTCTAAAATGTCTTCTCAAAGTTATTTTAAAAAAATATCCTAGCCAGAAGATTTTACTGCTGACCTGAAGCAGACCAAGATAATTTTCTAGGTGCTTTGGCAAAACTGAGAGGGTAAATCACTGCCAGAGGCAGGGATGTGGATTTTGGGGGCTTTTGGGAGCTTTTTGAGGTTCCTTCCAACCTCAGCTGGTCTGGGCTGCTGTGATTTGTGTGGCCACAGCTGCAGTGGCCATCAGGCTCCACAAGGGTTTGTCTGAAGTATTTTTAATCTCTAGGTTTGTAGGTTTGGTTTTTTTCAGACATAAGTCGAGTTCTAAAAAGTCTGATTTGGGGCTACTGAAAAGAGGTTTTTAGGGTCATCTACTCAAAGTGTAAGAACAGGGGTAGAACTTAGTTATGTGGCTGCCTGACATTGGAAGTGAGCACTTGCACATCAGAGGAACTCCCTAAATCCTGCTTACATCCTTCCACTTGTAAATACAATTTTAAAAGGGCTCTAAACATAGAGAAGAAATCTATAGACCCTGCATAAAGTCACCTAATGGACCCCATCCTCAGGTGAAACCACCATTATTTTGATTTATATCAAGAGAGGACCTGATACTTTATAATTGTTCAACAACCCTTATCAGTCTCTCATAATTTTTGCCAATTGCAATTAATCTTCACATTCAAACTGGCTCAAGAACACAACAGAAACCAGGACGACAGCTCACAGTGAGGGCCCTGAAATGGTGTAAAAACCGTTCAAATGAACAAAGGGAAAAGCTCAGAATCCACAAAACAGCGTGGTGGTGGTGGACTACATTCTCTTAATCATCTGCCAGTGCTCTGCCTGCCAAATTCACAAGCTCTGAAGGAAATGTTAATTGAACATGCGTGTGAGGAGTAGATATTGCAGATGGGTCACAGATACAACAAACAGAAATCTGCACATTGCCTAAGCAGCTGCCCAGATTTTGCACATGCAGCTCCAGATTTTGGGCACCGGTTGCAGCCAAACTTGACAAAACTTTTTCAAAAATATTGAAGTAACAAGTGGAAATTCCCCCCACCCCCCTCCCCCTCCTTGCACACATGTGTGTTAGACAAGAGAACAGCTCTGCTTGGTGAGCAGAGATAATAAATACTGTGCATTACATTTACCAGCAGGATTTTAACCCACTCCAGCCAGAGTGTTGTGTAGTACATATAATACTCAGCAGACAGATAGTTACTCATATCTACATTCATCACCGAGACACACATTTTAGACAATTTTGCCAGTTGCCTATGAGAATTCAGCTGAAAATCTAGCACTGAACAAGCCACAGCATCATATTTTGAGTATCCTATAAAATGTCATCAGGAAATGCTGGGGTGGTGTTTTTATTTCGTGTACTGAGGCAGTTTGTCAAGCACCAGCATTTACAACTCCTGCTTGCTTCAGATGGTCAAAACATGACAGAGAGCTGATGCAAGGAAGGGGAAATCATATCTATTCTCTGTTATAAGATTAATTAGGAGAGAAAGGCACCATGAAAGAGAGACAAATTTTTAAACACATACAAGGGGAGAGATTTATTGCTCATGGTGGGATATAAATCAGCCAGTGACTGACTGTGATACACAAGCATAATGAGACAAGTCCAGTGCTGTATTCTCCATCTTTTACTAGACGTCCTAAATGGATTATGCTTTTTTTTCTCCTGGGGAATTAGCTTACTCTCTTTGAATTTGAAGGTTTAAATATTTCTGGAGCTGCCCTTATTGACATACAAACCTCCCATTGGCTTTGGCATCAGCTCCATGTGTAAGTTTACGGCAGCTGTGGCCTTTCCTGGTGCAATTTAAGTCAAACATGCTCAATATAGAGCTTTTTTATCTTTTTAAATTCAATACTATTCAACTTGCTAACATCCTGTATTCCAATACAATCTAATCATCAATATGTCTTGAATTTCTTAAGAAATAAATATTGAACTGGGTGTTTTTATCTATTGCACCTGAGAAAATTACATTAAGCCTAAGAAGCAAAATGATTAAGATGAGGTAGACTATTTATCTGGCTAAGGGCTCATTTGAAAGCAGTGTTTTAAAAGCTTCTTAAATTCTGTGGCTATAATGTGGATTTTATTGTAATTATGGTATTTTTATAACTGAAATTAAGGATTAAGCTGATTTTTTTAAAATTTACATGGTAGCTAATAATCTTCAGATAATAACTGAGGTATGACATTCACTGACTCTGGGGTGAAGCCTCTCACTGAGTCCCTTATCTGGGATTTGAATCAGAGGCCAGAAAATTCAACAGTGGACATTTTTTGCAACACACCAAGCTCTTCTTTTGCATAAGAGAAGGTGGCAACTAAAAAGTAATCCCACATTTTTTACAACTTGAGGACTTATTTCCTCAGAATGGCATTGACAGTTGGGATATGAGCAGGGATGCATGGCAGACCAGCCAGATGTGCCAGCTGTTATTGAAGCTGCCATTGCATTCATGAAGCCTAATTAACCAAGCCTATTTTAAAATCTGGGCAGGCATCTGAGTGCATGGTAAATGTTAATAATGTTCCTATGCAGAACTGCAATCCAGAGCTATGAAGATTTGTACTGACACCTCCAGAGATTTGCACATTCAGGGGTGGATTCAGATTATTGGCTCCACTTTCATGGCGGAGAGGGGGGCCTATTATTTGTGCTCCACTTGCTTTGGAAATTATACTTGAAACTCAGACTTAGGCTCATCTTTCCTTTAAGTAGGAAAAAGCCCCATGATTAATAACTCCTCAGAAAAAGAGATTTGTTATTTTCCTCCTGGGCACAGGGCCCAGATCTGCAGCTTTGGGCAAAATCCAGCTACTCAGAGCTCAGATATATGGAAGGGAGGCAGGAGGCATCCTGACCTTTCCACCCTGTCTACCATTTGTATCTTCCTGAAAGTTAATGGGGAGAACATTAGAGAGATTCTATGTAAATAACTTCTAAAATTTAGAGAAGACATAGCTGAATCCAGCACACTCCAAAAGTAGTTTTTCTCTTCCTTCAATTCTATGGGATTCTTCCTAAAATATATGTCAGAAAAGGCTGAACTGTGTTGGGCGCTGGATGAATATTTAGATTTTTTTAGGTTTTTTCCCATTAAGATATTTTCTACAAACAACCTTCTCTATTTTCTTCAAACAACCTTTGTTTCTACAAACAAGCCACTAGGGTGGGTGGTGGTTTTTGTAAAGCCACGTTGGCAGCTACATCAGAAGGAGCTTCACCTGCAGCGAACGCCAAACACAGCACAAACATCCCTGTGCAGCTTTTCAGAACAACCTTACACCAGCAGCAGTTTGCTCCCATTACCTTCATGTAGGACTGGATTTTTTATCTATAAATGCAGCAGCTGATGGAAATCAATGGGAGATTTGTATTTGTGGAGCCTGCAGGACCACGGATCAATAGCGCTCTTCCAGTCGCGGGGAGGAGGTCCAGAGCAGCCACGGGCTGCTGGAGGGACACGCTCTGGGCTTCACCCTGCCCACAGCTGCCTCCCAAAACCTGGGCAGCTGAGGGGAGCTACTAGGGGTGGGCCAGTTGCTGTGGTTTCCCAAACATCCCTTGGCAGGGGCCGTGCCAGCTCCTCATTCGTTGAGCTGCGGGAGGTTCCGGCTGTGCGGCTCGCCCGCCAGCGCCGAGGAGTTGATGGAGCTCCTCTTGAGGATCTTGTTTAGGATGTCCTTCCACGTCTTCTTGTACTGGTGCCGCAGCAAAGAGTACACAAAAGGGTCTGAAACAGCTTTGCTGTAAGCCAAGCACTTGGAGATGATCCCCCAGTGGGAGTTGATGTGGACCACGGAGGATAATTCAACGAGTCTGGGGAAAGAGGGAGGGGGAAAGAGTGAACGTTAAAAATTACATTAAACCACTCCAAACCCACAAATTATTGCTGGGGAATTGCAACAAAACTAAAGAAAAGAAAGCCCTGCTCGTGAAAATGTGTATGTTGTCCTCCTCTTATCAATTTTAAAGGCTGCAAATGTAAACTTGAGACCTGTTTGCTAAAGTGCCATTGCTTGGTCTCAAGGGAGTCAAATTCCTCTACTATGAGCAACCTAAAAACCCAGCATCAGTCAGAACTTGTGGTTCTAGATCCCCTCTAGAGCACCTGAGACACCTCACCAGGGCTACCCAGCTCTTTTGGCCAGTCCAGCTCCTAGAGAGAGTTCAATGCCTTTGAACAATTTGTCTGAGTTGTAGAAGCACACACGGAAAATTCATCGCTGTGAGATGGCGTGTCATACCTTGAATTTAAAAACTGTCCAGTTCAAAGGGCAAGGATTCACATTTGCAACAAATAGAGCAAGACAAAAACTTTAAAATTTAAAATTGTTAGGGGAGGGAGAAAAACTTAATATACTGCTCATACCTACACTATCCCAGATATTTCACTGTGTACTGAGAGCATTTTTGACAGGGGAATATTGATAACTCCCCACGCCTTTGAGCAGCATCAAAGGGCAGCTCTGTTCAATATGCCTCTACAGCTGTTAGAAACTATTGATTTTCATAGAGGTCAAACAGCCACGTGTGCTGCCACAGAGCCCACATGGCAGGGCAGGGCTTTGCTGGACCTGTCTGCAGCAGCAGGTGCTCTTAAACCTGCCTGGGAAATGCTTTCTGCTGACAAAGCACCACCTCCAAGGAGCATTCTGGAGGGTGGTTCCTGCAGCAGCAATGACAATAATGTTGGTACTTCAGGCAGTTTAGAGATGAGGATTTATTTTCCTCAGTCATTCCCATTCCATAACCTTTCACTACAATGTATTATTTAAAATAATGCTGGCAGATGTCACAGTCCAGTCAATGTGAGGGACATTTCAGGTGACCAGGGAATGAAAATACTTGGGAATTGTTGGTGCCACTCCACTGGTGCTGCTTGGCCCAGCAGCTCTGAGGTCCCAAAGAACCCTCATCTGTCCCATTTCTCTCTCATCTCGAATAAACCAAAGTTCTTTCAACCTCTCCCTGTAATTCATGGTCGTTATCTTTCCCACAAAGATCACAACTGAGACATAATTTTCATCTACTTGAGTTTCCAGGTGGTCTCATCTGGTGTATTCTCTCTTCTTTAATAAAATGCAACTTATGGCATCCACGTTAACATGTTCTAAAATGAGAATTGACAATTTTGAAATTAATCATCTATTGAGTCATATTTGCTTTGTAATCTACCGTGAGCCATCCTTGTTGTTCTCCACTTCATTTATTCAATGCCTACTTCACATTTTGAATTTCACCACGTTGAATCTCATTTGGATGATTTATTTTTACTGAGTGCTTTACAGATGTGAATTTGATTACGTTTAATTAAATTCAGCGGATGCCTTGAATAACCAAAATATGACAAATTTGTGTCTGAGGCTCTGTCAGTCAGTTCTATGAGACATTAACAATCTCCATTTAAAGCACATCAAGCAGACACTTCAGGGTTGCAAGCCTAGACTTGCTAATTTTACCTTCATTGACTGATCAAATGAAAAGCCTACACTTTTATTAACAAGATCTTAAATATTTTCCTTGCATTCTGTAAGCTTCCTTGACATTTACACATTTTTCAATTCTCATGCATTATTTTTTATAGTAAATTACATTTGCTGTTATCAAGCAGCAAACATAGAAATGTAGCCAAACCCTGAGCTATGCATTTCCATTTCATGTACAAACAATTAAATGTCAGCCTTTCAAGGCACATCACAGAATTTATTGCCTTTGAAAGGTTTTGGTTCTCATTTGTGAGGGAAATGATATGCACGGCTTCCATTTTCACGAAACATTTCAACCTAAAAGAAGACATTTTCAGTGAAGGTACATTAATATTTCAGTGCTACCTGTAAATTAAATTTTACAGTATCAGCTACATAATTCCCTGGCTTGCTTTCATAAGCCTCTCTTCCACTGTCTGGTCTTCAAACCCTTTTTATTTCAAAGCTGTAAGCTCTTTTTCTGTGATATTCTGTTGATATTTTAGAAACTTACAACTCTGTAGAGTGTGTCATTTCACACGGCTATCCAATTATTTTATTTCCCCTTCAGTAAACAAACAAGAATGCCATGTGGAAGAGTGTGACCTTGATCTCTACACACATAATGCACACTGGAAATCCTTTATTTATATGTGCAGTTCACCACTACACTAAAATATTTTACTGAACGTGTGCCCACCCAGCTGGGATGCTGAAGAACACAAATTGCAGAAGAATTCTGAGCTTTTTGTGTGCCCAAGCAGGATCTGCATATGCAGAGGGCAAACAACAGTTTAAAACCAGGGTTTGCTTACCCCCTATCCCCCAGAGATGATACAACAGAGAATTTTAATCAACTTCTGCCTGTTCCTCCATCCTCCTCTGTAACCTGAGGGCGTGGGATTATGAACTTCTGCCTGCTATTACTTCAGGATTTTTAATTTAAGGCCAATTTCCTCACACATTGACAGCATTTATTAACTTACATGAGCAAAGTTCTGTATTTCAGTATGAAATGCCTGGAGTTGGAAATGAATTTTAGAAACTTGTATGACTTATCTTCATTTTTCTTATGAAAAAGTTCCTTGGAGAAAAGAGGTTTGGAACAAGTATCTTTAATTGCATAATGATGAATACAGCAGAGGAAGAAATGTGTACCAGCAAGTTATTTTACAAAACAAGAAACAATCTGTGCTTGGAAATACATAATGGGGGGATTACACCTGTGATGCTGGTGAAGTGGAAACCCTGGGTCAAAGGCAATCAGATCCTGATATACCACTTAAGATCATCCACTGAACTAATTAGAAGGGTGTTTGCTTGATAAATGAAGTGTCTGATCTGATTTTTGCCTCAGCGTGATCTGAAAATCTCAGGTTTGCCCAGAGAAGCATTTATCTGTCTGGGGTCATGAGCACAACTCCCTCACTCGTTCATGGAATATTTTCAGTGTGGAAACAGGAAGATGTTGTAAGTGAAACCTTGTGATTTGCTGCTGTCAGCTCCCACTTCAGGCAGTACTTAAAAGCATGTTTAATTGAAATATATTGCTGATAAGGAGAGGCTGAGCAAGGCACTCCCTGTCCTGACTTCTGTCCATGGATTGAACTGTGATTGATCATGTCCCTCCTGAGAATGTAAAGCACTGGATGTGGTTCCAGAAATTACACACAATTACACACTTGCTCACACATTAAACTCCAATTCTCCCCATCCCCTTGGTGTCAGGGTGCCCAGCCCATGGAAGGCAGGGATGAGTGTCCTGGAACACCCAGCCCTGCAGGTGTCCAGCAAAGCCTCTCAGGGAGCTCAACAGGGAATTCCCTTAGCCTGCTGTGCAGCTGTGACAATCAGAAAAACAGAAACTCCCACAGACACTGAAGGGTTTGATCTGCAGCCTTGGATTGATGTAAAAATACAATACACAAATAGTAAGCAGAAAAACCATAAACTCCTATTCCTATAGTTGTAAGTAAGAATAAGCCTGAAGTGAGGGAGAAACTGCACTGATGAGATGGTGAAGGGTTTATAATGCAGGGCTGGGGCTGTATGGAACGAGCTGAGAGTTCAGAAGTTGGAACAGGAGCAGATGTGTGCCTGTGAGACAGAAGCCCATTGGACAAAAGCATCCTCAGTGCAGCAGAAGTGGCTTGCAGTGGTGTCTTGTGGCCATGAAGGGAAAGTGAAGGTAATTCTAGTAAATTACTTAAATTTTCTAATTCTGGGAATTCAGGGCACTACACTGAATTGGAAAAACTCAAAGTTGGCCAAAAGTTCAATTATATTGATTCTTAATCCAGATTTTTTAATTTTTTTTTTCAAGGTGGATCTGATTTGATTGAGATCAGCCTCACTAATTTCTGCTTAATAGTATTGGAATAGGAGAGACCTTAATTTTTTTTTTCTTTCTCTGTTGTGCATAGCAGCATCTCAGTTTTTCCAAAATCTTATAATAAGGAATGCAAGCTGTAAATTTCCTTTAACAGCTAGATAACTTTTTTTTTTTTCTGGATGTACTCACTTTCTAACACTTTTTATTTCACAGAGTAATTTAGTGTTTCCCACAGGAGCCATTTCCAAAGATAAGCTGGTGGATAGATATCTACCATAAATCACAAGAAGATTTTTCAGTTATGAGCTAGCACAGCTTTGATATTTGATATTTATGACTAATAAACCCTACCCAATCAGACAAAACTGTTGTTTGAGTCTGTGGACTATGTTCCCACCTCAGCTGAATCTTGTTGACCAAATTTTTACAGTCTGAGCTATTCAGGCGAGATTTTCCCTGGAGATCAACTCCCTGCACTGGGAAGTCAGAGCAGTAGGTGACAACACAAAAATGTCTGTGATGCCTGGGGAAGGCTGACCTAGAACAGAGGCTGGACAGAGCTAAAGAATAAAGCAGGGATTTATTCACAGGATCCCCTCCATGGATGCACCTTGGGCAGCACCAGAGCCCAGCCAGGGCTGCACCCAAGATGAACCAAAATGGCCCCAAAATGCACGGCCGGGCACGGGCTCTGTCCCTGGGATCAGTTCTGCTCCATTTGCACCTTGCAGTTCATTGTCCCATCCCAGCTTTAGCCCAGGCAGTCCCACCCTGCTTGTTTTTCTCTCTCCAGCCCACGGTGTTTGTGCTCCTGGGCTGGGATTTGGATCATTTGTCCTTGGTGCCCAGCTGGAGCAGGAATTGTTTTGTCTCCTGCTCTGTGCACAGAGCTCACCATCCCCTGATGTGAGCCCAGACCCACACACTAAAGCAGCACAGAATGGGAAACATAGAAAAGCCAAACCTGAGGCATCATCTGAAAAACCTTATGGACTGACTTCCTAAATCCCTCCCATGCAAGCAGCACATTGACTGGGCTGAGTGAGCAGAGTCTGACCCTCAGAGTGCATCAGGACTGAGAGGAGAAGCACTGGGACATTTTCCATCATTTGTTAGCTCAGTAAATGCAGCCTCCGCTACAGGAGTGGAAGCGGCGCATCAGATTTCCCCAGGAGACTGGAACCCTGCTCGGGCTCAGAGTGCCCTACTTCCCCGAGCCAGGAGAGCATCTCAGCAGCCTTTTCCAGGATGTAGTGCACACTTACCTTGTGATTACATAAGGTGCAAAGCAAAGGATGAAGGTACCAATGAAGGTACTGATTTTCTTGGTCGCCCGCTGCCGCCGCCTCCTCTGCTCCTCGAGACAGCGCTCGCGCACGCTGTGGGACATCCAACACAAACACAACCAAATCAGCCACAAAGAGCACCAGGTGACAATTCCCAACTCCAGTTCACCATGGAATGATGGAGAACAATCTAGTTTAATTGTGCACTGCATTTAAATGGGACAAAACCAAATATTTAATGCATTGTCTGTTCATCTTACCCTCCACAAAGTTCCTGACAAATACGTGGTTGAATATTTGTGTGCACACAACCCCAATATATCAACTAATCTATAGAAAAATTGGTGAATTTCATCCTTGAATTCAGTTTATGAACTACTGTAAGCTGTATTTGCAGGCAAGGTGATACTCAGAGGTTTGGAAAATATCCTGTTGGTATCAGAATTAAACTCAGGATTTGATCTGAGACCTTGGAAAAGGCTTCCAGACTTAGGTGCTAGAAGCAAGAATGTGGATTTATACTTTAAAGCAGAGGCATGTTAAGTTAAGAATAGGAAGGTTTGGAGTTTTAAAGTTTAAGATATAGAAAAAATAAAAGTTACAAAGGAAAACACTGCGTTCAAATGGGACAAAACCAAATATTAATGCATCATCTGTTCATCTTACCCTCCACAAAGTCACTGACAAATACATGGTTATATGTTTGAGTGCACACAGCCCCATTATATCAACTGATCTATAGAAAAATTGGTGGATTTCATCCTTGAATTCAGTTTGCAGCTCCTTCTTGAACTACTGTAAGCTGTATTTGCAGGCAAGGTGATACTCAGAGACTTGGAAAATATCCTGTTGGAATCTGAAATGCAGGGAATTCTCAGAAATTTGGGCCTGTAAGCTAAAGTTAGAATTAAACTCAGGATTTGATCTGAGACCTTGGAAAAGGCTTCCAGACTTAGGTGCTGGAAGTGAGAATGTGGATTTGTAGTTTAAAGCAGAGACACATTAAGATAAGTAAAGGAAAGTTTAGAGTTTTAGAGTTTAAGATATAAAAATAAAAGTAGTTACAGAGGTGAACAAGGAGTTTAGAATGCAGCACTGTGAGTTTGTGCATCATAACATGACTGGCTAAGAAAGGTTACACTGTAGCATGAGTCCATAAGCCAAAATATTTAAGGATTGGGTCAAAAACATAAATAACCTTGGTAACAGTCAATTGGTCAATAACTCCTTTAAAGGTCTTGCAACTTAGGGGTCTTGGGACATTCTGAACCATGCAGTAACAATGTGAGCCAAACTCACTCTTCCTATGCAGTAGATAAGAAAAAAAACAAAAGTAATTCAGAGGTCCTGTCTCTAACCCATTCAAAATTCCTTCAAAAATCCCCATATATCCAGAGTGGGATGCCTCCTAAATGAATCCTCTGAATCCTCTAAGGATGCCAGCAGGGCTGAGACCCTGAAATCAGCACATTGGCTTGTGAAAGCAGTGATTAATGTGAAAGTTCATCCTCCTCCTCTGTCTGTCTGAGGGATCCTGTGCTCCCCATGGTTTCTGAGGGAAGTGGATGAACCCCTGTCTGCCCCAGGCAGGTGGGTTGGGCAGCACTGGGATCCCACAGTGCCAGGACTGCCTGTACCTCAATAAATCCCTTTGGGAAGGGCACAGCAAAGCCAGGATGGCATCCTGAACCCCTCTCTGTGCCCATGGCAGAGTTGCTGCTCCTTGCACAAATCTCACAGTGCCACAGTCACTTCTCAGGCAAGCTGAATGGCTACCCCATGTCCTGCATTTATATATATATAAAATTTTTTTTTAAACCCAACTGTTTGGCATTAGTCTTTCCATTTTTTGTTGTAAATTTTTAATTGATGACTCACTCTCAGGCTCCACATGCTCTGAGGCTCATGGCCATACCCTTACATTATTTACTTCATCTGTAAATGTTTTATCAACACCCAAACACACGCTGTGTCCTGAGGATCTCAGTGTGTTTCAGTGATCTCTGTGGCAATGAGCTCCTTTGGTTCTGTAGAAGAAAAAGTGTTTCTTTTGTTCCATTCTGAATTTGGTATTACATTGTCAGGCCCAGAGAGCTATCATGATGTGATTAAATAAATACTGGAGGAAAGGTTTGTTCTTCTAACAAATTATCTTTCTCTTAAAGAAAATTACACATTTAAAGGTGTTACATGTTCCATATGTGAATTACTTGCAGCTAGCAATGACAGCTGAGAACGGAAAAAAAACTTCCACCTTTTCAAGGGAACCTGTGTGCTTTCAATTCTGCAAGAGCTGGGGAACTTGGAGTATTTTTATGTGCAGAAAAATGATCTCAGAGTTTCATGAGCTTCGTTTAAGACCTGTGTTCTTAAATTCAGAATATCCCAAGCCCATGGCAATACAGGAAAGTGACTCTCCAGGACAGGTTCAATTGAGGTGTTGTTAGGGAGGAGAGGGTGGTGTAATTTTTGTCTCTGTTTTCCCAGTCACATCTTTTCTTTTCTGGCACATGCAAAGCTGTTTCTCACTCCTGGAGCTCACCCATGACTGTCCTGGTAGACTTGAACCCATTTCTTTTGTTCAGCCCTTCCAGACGTATCCAGTAAATACCACATCACAGAGGAAGGTATTTTATCTCACTCCTTCATGTAGACCATGCACACAGATGAATATTTTGGTTTTGCACACACTTTCATGCACTAAGATAAGGCATGTGTGAGTTCTAGCAGTGACATCAGTAATAGAACAGGATTATTGGCTAAGCTTTCATTTAGAGATTTTAATATCCTGGGAAATCTGAGCTATATCCCTTTGAAGGTTTGGTATTTTAAACAAAGTTTATGGGATATTGGACCTTAAGATGTGTAGAGCTGGATACACCAAAAAGATAGTATAGATAATTTGAATTAAGAAATACATGGGTTAAGCACTTAAGTGAAGTTTTACCCAAATCTCCCACAATACCCAAGATATTTTGGTCTTAACAACAAAGAAAAAGCAGGATCCACTAAAAAAGCCTTAACTAACTTGAAATGCCACATGCCCTAAACATTCACACATATTTGCAGGGTATTCGTAGGTTTCCTTTGTGCTCGTCCTGAATGATCTTCAGGAGATCACTGGTGTCTTTCTAAGTCACAGGTAATAAAGCCATCTGTCACAATCCTGTCACCAGACCCCCCTGCGGCTGGATTCTGAGTCATGGGAAGCAGAAAACTGTCTGTACACATTTCCCAGCGCTGAAACTACGCCAGAGGAGTCAGAGTAGCCCAAAGTGGGATTGCAAACTTTGTTTTCTCATTTGGGCTCTCCCAGCATCCACAGCCGTGCTGCCAGGTACTAGGGGTACCCTGAAATTGCCCGTTACACAATGCAAATGATGCCTTTGTTATATCAGACATTTCTGAGCATCTCTGCCTCTGCCAGCAGAGCTGCAGCCCCTGTGCAGCTCTCACAGGAGGGTTGGTGCCCTGAGATCTGCCCCTTTCAGCACGGGAGCTGTCACTGGTTAGAGCAGCTCCTCCAGGGGTCAAATCACCCACTATTTTCTGCAGGGCAGAAAATAAACTAAAGCTCCTTTCTTAGAGAGAGACGCCAGAATAATCTGGTGCCAGAGATGCAGGCAGTGGTGCAGGTTACCCACAGCAAAGTGCGTGCACAGCTCTGGCTGCCCTGAAGAGGGGAAGCATCATTCCCGCAGCCCCACTGCAGGGAAAGGATCACAAAATGCACAAACACCCTCAAATCAACCTCAACCAGGAAAAAACACAGGGGAGGAGAAGCATCACTGAGGTTTTTGCCCTTTTACTGAACTTTGCTGTGCAGCCCAGGCATACTTTTAGCATGAGGCAAAACGAGTGGGGTTTCAAACAGCCCTGGTGGGTTTGTGGCACTCTGCTGGGAGTAAGAACCACATCTCCTCATGCTGCAGGAGCTGAGGCAGTCGAGGCACAGCTCATCAAGCAGACAGCACATAGGGCAGGAGGGTGTTTTTGTCCTCAGTGTGACTTCGGGAATAAGGAAAGATTTATCCCTGTATTTCTCAAGAACGGCAGCAAGACTTGCCCAAAGTTCTGCTCTGCATTCTTGGTCAAGAGACAGCTCAAACAGCTTAACAGGAGGATTCTGAGCAAATGTTTCTGTTCCTCTGAAATGTGCTGCCCTGCCCTGATCCTTCCAGACCTATTTGTCTTAGCCTCAGGCATCCCCAAAGCATGACCTGTGTCTGAGGACAGCCACATGTGCTCTGAGCCCTGCAGCCCTGCTCTGGCTGCTCGGATGGAGAGGCTGGTGGAGCAAAGGGGAGCAGGGATGCTCAGATGGGATGTGTGGCGTGGGACTGCCCTCTCTGCTCTCCTCTCTTCCAGGCACATTTCCTCCCTGTATCACACCCCGAGCCTGCATCCCTTCCAGACCTATACATCGATTATTCATGCAAGATTTATGGCTTGTGCATAATCCCTGGTATGATTTCTGCACACACTCCTCTCCCTGTTTGGTTCTTGCCTTCCAGCCCACGATCCTGCCAGTCCCTGGGGACTTTTCTCCTCTTGTCTCGAGGCACAAGGGACTTGCCTAAAATCTCCCATTTGAAACAAGCTTTATACATCCCTTGTTTGTCACATTAGCGCTCCCACTGAATTCTCTCTCACTTAAGGTTTAAGTACAGGCATTCGAGCACATGTATTTTGCAGATGTAATTCCCTTAAGGATTCTGCCTTCAGGAATGATAAAGTTACAGAGAGCACAGCAACGGGGAAACTGCTGGGAAAAGGAGCAGCAGGCAGCGCTCAGCTTCCCTTCCAAACTCCAAGGGACATGTGCAGCCTCCTCCCTCTCAGAGATTCAGCAACGCTTTTGGGGCTGACAGTGCCCAAAATATGCAAAGCTATCGACCACTAAATCCACCTTCAGACACAAAGGGCAGCGATCTGATCATTGTCTCAAAGGGAAGTGCATGCTTGGCCAAAGCTGCCTGTGCATTTGCTCTCCCTCCCAAAACAAGTCCTTAAGCCTAACAAAAAACGAGTTCAGCAATCAGAGAATTAAACACAAGTGAAGAGAACCGTGCAGAACAGAAACGGGCTGACAGGATGTTTGTTTCCTCCCCCCTCCCCATCCCCTGCTGTGAGACAGGTTAATCTCTCTTTACCACAACACTGAGCCCCCTCCTCACTTCTCCTGCCAGGAGCAGCTGCTGACCTCAGGGGAAGCTTACCTGGGATGGATGTCCACGAGCAGCACCAGGGTCTGCATCGTGATCACGTCGATGCGCTTGCAGTGGAACCGTGCCACCTTCAGCACTTTGAGATAGGTGAAACACAGCACTACCAGGGAGAGGAGGAAGCTGAGGGCGTGAAAGACCCCAGTGAAAATCACAAACTGTGTCCTATCCTCTGGTCTCTTGTTGCAGAGCGTGCAGGAGGCGTAGAGGTGATGGAAACCCAGCCAGGAGAGAGAAGCTGCCACTATGGGGAAGGACGCCGAGTGCAACCACGTGTAGCTGAGAATAAGAGCGGCGTCCCGGTACCTCATCTTGGAGTGGTAGCTTAGAGGGAAGACCACAGCAATCCACCTGTCAATGCTCAAAGCTGCCATGCTCAGCATGGAGCTGGTGGTGAGGAAAGTCTCCAGGAAGCCCACAGCGTGGCAGACCTGATCTCCCGCCGGCTGACTTTTGTAAATGATCCCAGCCAGGGTCAGGGGCATGCTGGAGACGGCCATCAACAGGTTGCAGAAGGTGAGGTTGAGGATGAACAATCCCGGCACCTGCTTGCGGATGTCGGCGCTGTACAGGAAGCACATCAGCACCAGCACGTTGGCCAGCAGGGCCACGAGCATCAGCAGCACCACCAGGAAAGCCAGGAGCAGCTCCCAGATGCTCATGGTGCGTCCAGTCACAGCAGGGACATCTCCGGAACTGCGCCGCGCCGGCACGGGGGTACCATGGTGCGAGGTGCCCCCGCCTCGCCAGCCCGCTCCCTCCCGTGCATGCCCTCCCTGGTTTTGGAGGAGCTGCAGCTTTCTCCTCCAGCCTCCCCCTCCTCGCTGCTCCTTTCCACGTCAACGCTTCCCGAGACGTGCACAAAGGCACTGGGAATGCCCATCAAACCGCGAGGAGGGCTTAAAAAATATCAGCAGGGCTGAACCACTGCCTGCCGTCGGTCCATGCGGAGGAGAGCGCGTTATTCTGAGAAGCTGCTCTCCTGAGATCCCTAATTGTCAGCCCCAAGCTTGCGAGCAATGCACCGAGTGGATTGTGCTCTCTTTCTGCCTTGCTTTCTGCCTCTCTCCCTGTGTCTTTCTCTCCCCTCCCCTCTCCTCCAAGCCTCGCTCCCTTCCAGGCTGAATGTAACCTGCTTTTTATGATCACAGATAAAAACCCCATTAATGGATTAAAGCGTGCACGGTGCTGGTGATTCGCAAACGTGATTATGTCATCCCTGCTCCACAACCCCTCCCCTTCTCCCTGCCACCGTGACTAGACTTTCCTCAAGAGAAATCCCATGCTCTCATTTAATTGATTTAGCCATTAATTTGCAAACGAGCCTTGTAACCGAATTCCTGCACTCCGGCGTGTTCCCCACATTTCTGTGCATCACTTTCGGTGCTGCTGCTTGCTCTCAGCCAGGGCAGGGGCTTTCTTTTCTCTTCCTCAGCTCTGCTTAAAGAGATGGGGGGAAAATGGATATATCCTGCTACTTCTCTGGAGCTGTCATTAGGCTACGGGAATGGTTTTACTGCTCGAGTTCAGCACTTTGCAGTTTGTTGTCTCCAAATACCATGTGGAGGAGGAAGCTGATGCTTCCCATCCTTTGAAAGCAGGGAAATCAAAGCCCTGATGCCAGAGCCACATGGCCAAGGTCACAGAGCAGGTGAGGGGCAGAGGCAGCATCCTGCTGCAGGTACCTTTATTCCTTTCTCCTCTCCAGGACTTTCTCCTTCATCCTAATCAAAGCCTCCCTTCCCTCTGAGGGTGAGCACCCTGTGAGATCCAAACCAAAAAGCAGCTTGGCAAAGGAAATAGGAATGAGCCTGACTTGCACATAATTAGGTGTCAAAATTAAGTTTGTTTCGAAGGACGGAGTGGGAGCTGATTTCTCATTGCTTTTCCTGTCTCTTTAAATCAGTTTTAACCGGGGAGGCTCTGAGAGTTTGTGAGCAATCAGGACAGCTTTCTGATCCAGGCAGCCAGGCTTTAATCCCTGCACAATAAGAAGGCAAAAGATACCCTGCAGCAGAGTTATTGGGGCTTAGCAAGTGCCTCTGCACGTGTGGGAGAGCTCGGTGCTCGATGCTCGGGCAGTTTTCCCTCCAGAGCTGAGCATCTCCACGAGCAGCAGCTGCTCACTGCAGCTCAGGAGCAGAGCTGGCAGCCTGCTCGCTGCCAGAGCTTGCCATGGGGGAGAAAAAGCCTCTTTCACTGCAGTTTTGGTTCATTTTGTTTCCAAAAGCCAGGCTTTGAAAGGAACAGCTCAGGGTCAGTCCCTCAGCCCTGAGAGCTCCCTGTGTCCAGAACACAACCCTGATGCTGAGGGGATGAGGAGACACCTACAGTGTCTGTCTCCTTTCCACATCAGTGAAGTGGTGGAGTGACCATCCCTGGGAGTGCTCAAAAAACCTGTGGATGTGGCATTTGAGGATGTGGCTTAGTGGTGAATGTTCTGGAGGTGTTGTGTTGATGGCTGGACTTGATAATCTAATTTTCCAACCTTAGTGATCCTATGAGAAAAGCCTTAAGCTGACCCCTTCTTTAAAAACGAGGGGTTGTTACCCTCTTAGAAGAGGTGGAATGAGGAAATAAAGAGAAGATGAAGATTTTGCTGTTGCTTCACAGCACCAGAACCTCAGCAAGTTTCCTCCTCGGGTAGGAAGCAGCAGCCCTGCTGAGAGGGGTACCCTGGCATCCACAGCCTGAGCAAGGGACACTCAGGACAGCTTAAATCCTTCAAGCTCAGCAGGCAGAGGCAGCTTCAGGACCACAGGAAGGTGCTGTGTGAGCTGGGAGCCACTGTGAAGAAAAATGTGAGAAAACTTGCTAGGAAGAACTGGGGAAAGAAAAAAATTGGGAAATTCTGGTGATGCATTTATGAGAGGCAGGAACTCTGTGACAGGGTAAAGGGGAAATTCACCCTCAGGTGGCATCAAGGGTATTCCTGGCCCTTCTTTCCTCACTCAGCCTCCTCCTGGGCTCAGATGAACCCTGCAAGAGCCCCCAGCTGCACAAGGACTGGGAAATTCAGATTTTCCCCTGCCTCCAATGCACGAGGCCCTGGGTTTATCAGGGTGGTTTCCTGCTGTTATCCCTTCAGTGAGCTGTGCTGCCTCCAGGATTGAAAAGCTCTGCTCCTGAGTAATTCCCTGCTGTGACAGGGGTCTGGCATCAGTGAGAGCCTGGGTGAACAGTGGGGGAGGAAATTCATGCCCGGAGAAAAAGGATTAGGGATGACAGTGGGGAAAAGAGGATTCTCCCTAAGATATGGATGTGAAATAATGGGAGGCAGAGTGAGAGAGTTCAGTGAAGCTGTGATGGAATATGGAAGGTCAGATTTGGGGGAAAATCTACAATCAAGGGGAAAACCTTTGTAAATATCAGGAGGAAGCTGAAGCTTTTTCTCAGTGAGTAATTTGAGTGTCAGTGTGTATTTTGTATTCTGAAGGCCCAAGTGATTTACATAACTAATTCCCCTGCTGCTAATCCCTGCAAGAGGGGGTTTGCTGAACACTTCTGGGTTTATTTATTTATTTTGTGTACCTAAGGGAGCACGATGGACCCATGAAATGGCTTCATTTTATGCAAATCAGGAGGGAAGAATCTGCTGGGCATCTGTCGAGGGTTAACCCCAGCTGGCAACTGAGCACTGCTCAGTCACTGCCCTTTTCCCAGGGGATGGAATCACTGAGTCATTTGGGTCAGAACAGAGTCTAAAACTTTAGACTAGAGTCTAAAACCTTGGACCAGAGTCCAAGGAAGAAAAGGAAGCTCTTTAGGCACTTGTGTGGGTAAACTTTGGTCTCTCCTCAGCCAGTACTATGCAAACCCTTGGCAGGGCTGCCTGATGGAGACAGCAGCCACAGGTCTGTGTCTCTTTGGGGCGTCAGAGGTGACGTTTACACCTCCCCTGTCACCTTCCCTGACCAAAAATTCATTTACTTCAGCCCTTATTCTCCCCATCCCCAGATAATGAGCATCACCCAGTGGACTCTGGCCTGGCTTTCTGTGGTGGTGTTCTCAGGGGTCCCAGGACGAGGGAAGAGATGAGAACCTTGACTCCATGTTTCAGAAGGCTGATTTATTATTTTATGATATATATTAAAAGAAAATTATATTCTAAAACTATACTAAAATAATAGAAGGAAGGATTTCATCAGAAGGCTAGCAAGGAAAAAAGTGGAATGATAACAAAAGATTGTGACACTCAGAGAGTCTAAGACAGCTGGACTGTGCTTGGCCACTAATTAGAAACAACCAACATGGACCAATCAAAGATGCACCTGCTCCATTCCACAGCAGCAGATAATCATTATTTTTCCTTTCCTCTGAGGCCTCTCAGCTACTCAGGAGAAAAATCCTGGCAAAGGGATTTTTCAGAAAATATCACGGCTACATCTCCCTCCTCTCCAGCAGGTTCTGTGTGTGGCACACTGGGGCTAACTGGGCCAGCCAGGTGGCTCCTCATGGGGCACCACTGTGGGGATGAGGGCAGAGGAGCCCTTCAGCTCCAAGCCCTGGAGCTGAGAGTGCCAGCACAGCTCCCCAGCTGCTCCCAGAGCCCTCCTGGTGGATTATCCACGCCTGGGCTGTCACCGAGGCTTTGCTTCATGGAATTAAAGAAACATCAGGCACGTGGCTGGTGCTCCTGGCACTTCTGCCTGCTGGGTGGGCTTTTAAGGACTCTCAGGGCAGCTGAGGAAATCAAATCAAGGCAGGAGGAGCAGAAAGGCATGGGAAGCTTTGAGTCAGGGAGGGCTGTGGGTAGATGTGTGTGTAGGTGGATGGCAGAACTTTTCCTCCCTGAGCTCCTTTGGAGCCAGGTGAGAGCTTCCTTCCTTCCTGGGGACCAATTAGGGGATGAGCAAGCTCAGTGACTTGGTCCCTCTGTGTTATTCTGGCAAATGCAGGATGTTAAATGACATATTCCAGCAGGGGCTCTGCTTCACAATTCATATTTTAGAATCACTCCCTATCAGCACCATCAGTGATGCAGATATTGAGTCACACTTCATCTTCATATGGAGCTCTGTAAGAGCAGCATTCTCCTAAAGGAGAGAGTGCGTGGATGTACCTGCTTTATTTGGTTTACCTCAAAGACAAAAAGGGGGGCTCAAAATAGAGCCTGGGCTTCAGATTTTAATTGCACTGCCATTTCTCATCCCAAGAAATATTTATTAACAAAAAATAATTAGCTATATTTTAATGCTTTTAAAGATATAAGAGAATTCTAGTTTGGTTTTCTGCATTTTTTTTTTTTTTTGTTCTCAACCTATTTTTACTCCTCGCCTCTTGCTTAATGCTAATGAATAAAAGAGTAACTAATGGGAAAATTAGCATCTTTGAGGGATGTTGAAAAACTCCAATAAAACAAACAAAATTCCATCTTATTTAAACGGAATTCAATTAGTATATCCATAATATCACAGCCTGTAGAGTTATTCAGCACACTCCAACAACCTTTCTTTTCTGAAAGGAATGATTTCCAACCTCCAGGAACTGCTGAAATAATAACTTAGAAATATAATAATAAAAATATAATCATTCTAAATCGAATCTTGGAGTGGTTTGGGTTGGAAAGGAGCTGAAAGCTCATCCAGTTCCACCCCAGCCATGGGCAGGGACACCTTGCACTATCCCAGGTGGTTCCAAGTCCTTTCCAACCTGGCTTTGAGCACTTCCAGGGGTCCAGGGGCAGCCACAGCTGCTCTGGGCACCCTGTGCCAGTTTCCCATTTCACTTTCTCTCTAGGATGTTTATTGCAGCAGCTGAAAGAGAATTGTCTTTGCAATCAGAGCTGCCTTGTGAACTGATGCAGCAGCCTGAGCTTTGCCTTGCCTTGGGAGGTTTGTTCTTGTTCAGGGCACCTGGAAAGGGCTTGGAGAGGCTTAGGGACCTGTATCCAAGTGGGAAGGTGATGGAACTGGAAGGATTTTATTCAGGGAAAGGAATTAACCTCGGGGTGACCTCTCATAATGTCACCTACGATGTGCTGTCACTCTGGGATTTAAACTGTCCTGGGCAAAGCTCTGGGTATTTGAAATGCAGAGGAAGAAGGAAGACAGTTGCTAATTTAAATACCCCAAGTATTCTTGGCTGTCTGAAGACAGGTAAAGCAAATTAGTTCCCAATATTTTAGGAGTAAAGGCAGGACTGGATTTGCTAGATTTTACATTTTATATTGGCCCTGTATGTGATATAA